AGTTAAAGGACACCTTTACAGCCCTGGGGCTCATGACCCCTGAACCCTCCCATCCCCTCAACCCACTGTGCCCCCAAACCCTCCTATCCTTTCAAACCTTGATGCCCCCAAACCCTCCCATCCCCTCAACCCCCTGTGCCCCCAAACCCTCCCATCCCCTCAACCCCCTGTGCCCCCAAACCCTCCCATCCTTCCAACCCTTGATGCCCCCAAACCCACCCATCCTTCCATCCCCTGGTGCCTCCTGAAATCTCCCATCCCCTCAAGACCCTGTGCCTCCAAACCCTCCCATCCCCTCAACCCTCTGTGCCCCCAAACCCTCCCATCCCCTCAAGACCCTGTGCCCCCAAACCCTCCCATCCTTCCAACCCTTGATGCCCCCAAACCTTCCCATTTCTTCAACCCCTTCTGCCCCCAAACCCACCCATCCTTCCATCCCCTGGTGCCTCCTGAAACCTCCCATCCCCTCAAGACCCTGTGCCCCCAAACACTCCCATCCCCTCAAGACCCTGTGCCCCCAATCCCTCCCGTGCCCACAAACCCTCCCGCTCCCCAAACCCTCCCATCCTTCCAACCCTTGATGCCCCCAAACCCTCCCATCCTTCCAACCCCCGGCACACCCCGCAACCCCCGTCCCCCCACTCCCCGCGGGTGCCCCCGCGGCCCTCACCGGTCGTGCCCGGGCTGCCCCCGGCCCAGCTCGGTGCCGAGGTGGCCGTGCAGGAGGCAGAGCAGGAGGCAGCTCAGGTTGAGCATCAGGCAGAGCCCGGCCAGCGTGGCCTCCACCCCCTGCATCGGGCGCGTCGCCCACCCCGGCAGTTCCCAGTAACTTTCCTGCGAGAGCTGCAGCAGGAGGTTGGAGGAGAGCAGGGCCATGACGGCGGACAGGGCACCGAAGAGCAGCAGAACCATCAGGGTCTGCTCCCGGTAAACGCCGGCCATGGCGGGGCCGGACATCGGGGGGGGCTCTGGGGGGTCACACCCGACGGTGCGTGCGCTCCCCAACTCCTCGGGGCTCCCGCCGGCGGATCCCGGGAACCGGGGAGCGGGAAAGGGAACTGATAACGGGCACCGGGAAGCGGCACCGAGCCGGGAGCGCCCCCGGATCCCGGGCACGGGGAGCAGGAAAGGGAACTGATAACGGGCACCGGGAAGCGCCCCCGGCCGCCTTCCTGCCCCGCCCGTGGCCGCCGGGGCGGGTCGGTCCTGCCCCCGGGCCGGTCCTGCCCCCGCGCCCTCCCCTCGCAGACCGGCCCCCCCCTCCCGCCCCCCGGGCCGGCTCCGCCCGCCGCCCGCCCCCGGCGGGGCCCCCGGAGCATCCTCATGGCACGGGGGGGGGGCTCGGGAGGGAGATGGAGGGGGATCCGAGGAGCCCCATTGGGACAGATGGACACCGAGCAGAGCATCCTGTTGCTCCCCCTCGCTCTCCGCGTTCCCAGCCCCGACCGTCCTGCTCCTGGGAAAACCCCGGGATTGACCCCCCCCGACACAACCCCGGCCCCAGAGAGGAGAGGACAAGGGTGAGGGTGGTGGGAAGGGGCCACCGCGGTGCCCTCATCCCGCATCCCCACCCGGGAGAGGCACCTTTGGCCTCCACCTGCGGGGGGAGAATCCTCTCCAGGTCCAGGGGGAGCACCCAAATCGTTCTCAGTCCCGGAAGGCTGGGAAAGGACCCCCGGGGCTCCGCGCTGCCGTCAGCCCCCGGCCCTTGGGGCCCCCACGAGTTTCCCATGTCTTATAAATATCCTGGGAAGCAGAATCGCCTTCTCCTCTGGGATGTGCCCTGCCAGCGGGGCCCCCTGGGAATCAGGGAGCATTAAAGCAGGATTAATTCAGGAAAATTCACTCCACAGGTCACCTGTTACCTCGGGAAAGACCCTGAGCCTCGGGAGAAGTGGAGAAGCTGAGGCAGAGTTTCCCCTCTCAAACCCACCCCCCCGGCACGGGAATTTCCCCCGTGTGGGGGACGAGGGGACACCAGGGGACATCGGGGTCTGGCCTTCCCAGGCACATCCCGGGCACCCCGCCAGGGCCAGGCCGGGGGATGGGGTGTGACACAGACCCCTCCATCCTGGTGACAGCAGCAGTGCCTGGGCCCGTGCCCGGGCCTGGCTGTGGGATCTGGACGGGGTGACCTTTCCGTCTGGCAGTGCCGGCCCGGCCTTCCCGTCCCGCGTGGGTGGTTCCCCTGGCACCCCCCACTCCCGGAGCCGACAGGGGCTATTTTGAAAGCTGCTGTGTTGCCCTTGGCAGCAGCTCGGGTTTGGCTCCCGGCTCCTTTCCAGCCCCGCTCGTATTTTTGCCTGGAGGGGGATGTCAGTCCCCGGGACCGTGTCCCGAAAGTTCCCAAACCAGAGGCAGCATCCCTGTCCCTTCTCCCTGGCCGGGAGAGTGACAGGGCTCAGCCGTGTCAGAGCACTGCAGGTCTCATCCCAGAGCATCCAGCAGCTCGGGCTCCCCAAAATCCCAGGATTTTGGGGCAGGAAGAGCCTCAAGAGGGAGCTCAAAGCTTTCAAGTCTTTCAAGGGGGGTTCCAGGCAGCCCCTTCGCCCAAAGAGGGGGCTCAGTTGCCACGGCTGGAAGTGGCTCTTGCCTTGCCCAAACCCCGGGAAGCCCAAGACGAAGGGAGAAGGACAGGACAGGGATGTCCCACACCCCAGGCGGGCAAAGGGCCACCGCGTGTGTCCCCACCCCCTGTCCCGGGGCAGGATGGGCAGCTGGATGTGTCACTTTGCGGCTGCTGGGACGTGGCTTTGCCGGTGCTCTGGCACTTCTGCTCTCCCCCCCCCCTCCTTCAGGATCAATTAAGGTTGGGCTAATTACCAGCCTGCTAATTGCGCTCTGTAAATCACGAGCTTTAAAAGCAGCTCTGAGAAAGATGTCGCGTCCTTTTTCCCCGGCGCGTCCGGAGAGCCCCCATCTCTCCAGCCTCCCTTCCCAAACCACCCCCCCCGGGGCTGGGAGCTGGCACTGGGTCCCCAGTATGGCCAGGGTGGACATGTCCCTGCTCTGGGGCTGCCACGGGAGCCCTGATAACCCCCTGATAACCCCCTTCCCACCTGCTGCCCGGGCGCTCCGCTCTCGCAACGGGAGCTCGGGAATTGCATCAGTTCCCCTTGGCTGCTGTAAACACGGGTGTTCCCTGCGGGAATCCCGTGCCAAGCGGCTCCTGGACGGCTCTTCACCTCCCCAGGGGGGCTGGAGGCAGCAGGACCCCCAGCACAGCACCCACCCCGTGGCGCTCAGCACCCACCCAGCAGATCCCAGGGAGGGGGCAGAGCAGAGGGCGGTGGTCCTGGTCACCCCCGTGGCTGCACCGTGGCTTTGTCCCCTCCAAGGCAGAGGTCACAGGAGGACAGGACACGAGTGGGGACGTGGATTGGGCGGTGCCTTCTCTGGGGCTGATTTTGAGGCCAGGTTTGGGCCCAGACTCAGGGCCAGGGCACGGCAGCGTCCCCTGAGCTCAGGTTCTGCTCCATCCAGGGGAAAGCGCCTTCTCAGCCTGGTCCAGACTCCCAGACTCCACTGCCTCCTTCCATCAGCCCCGGGCTGTCCGTGTGTCTGTCCCCGCGTGACGCAGCAGCATCTCCCTCCCTCGGCTCTGCAGAGTCACCTCAGGGCGTCCTCACACGGGCTCCGAGCCACGGGATCCACAACCACCCACATCCTCCGGAGCTCAGCGAGCTCCGGTGCCCGGCGTCTTCCTGCCGCCTTCCCCGGGCTGGGCGCGGGGACAGCGCCGTGAAATCCCAGCGCTGGATGTCCCGCGTGCCGGGAGGGGGCACGCGAGGTGTCGGGGTCCGCGGGGAGCGGGGGCCGGGCTGTGTTTTGGTGTGGTCGGTGTCTCTCGGTGTCCCCAGCGCTTCCTCGCAGCCTCCCCCGGGTCGTGTCGCTGCGGTTCAGCTGCGGGGTGGCCTCGCTCGGGGCTGGGGGCAGGAGGAGGGGGCAGCCCCCCCTCTCCCCCCAGGACAGTCATGGCGTTGATATCATTAATAAATAAAAGTAAGGGGGTGAGTTGGGTGCGTCCTTTCGGAGCTGCAAACCCCTCAATCCCTGCTCGAGCCTGAACACCCTCTTCGAGGGCACAGCACACCCTGGGACACCCCAAGCCGCTCCATCCCAGCCCCCTACATTTCTACAAACTCACCCACATTCTTCCCTGCAACCCCCCCTCATCCCAAAACCCCCAAATCCCCCCCAGTGTCACCCCCATCCCAGTCCCCAAATCCCCTCCAGTGTCACCCCCATCCCAGCCCCCAAAACCCCCCCAGTGTCACCCCAATCCCAGTCCCCAAAACCCTCCCAGTGTCACCCCAACCCCAGACCCCCCAGACCCCACCACCCTCACTGGCCCCGCCCCTTCCCCACCGCCCCGCCCCTTTTCCCCTCGGGGGCGTGGTTATGCAAACCAACCCCCGGGCTTCCGCCAATGGCGAGCGGGCCCGGTCCCGCTATGCAAATTTTCCGGCGGGGTGGGCGGGGCTATGCAAATCTCACCGGCGCGGCTCGGGCGGGCAGCGCGCGCTGCGGGGACACGGGACCGGGATCGGGACCGGGATCGGGGTCGGCACCGGGATCGGCACCGGGACCCGCACTGGAGAGGCCGCCCCGGCTCCGCCGCAGCGCCGGGAACGCGCGTCCGGAGCTGCCGAGGAGGACGAGCCGCTGTCCCGGTGCGTGGTGTCCCCGGGCGGGGAGGGAGGAGGGTCCGGCAAGCCCCGGGGGGGGGTCCCGCACGCCCCAGGGCTCCGGTGTGACCGGTCCCGAGGACTCGGGGGACACAACGGCAGCCGCGATTCTCCCCCCCCCAGCCCCCCGGCTCCGTCCCGTTGTTCCTGCGGGGCGCTGCCCCGCATCCCCCCGGCCGCGCCGTCGGGGCGCACGGGCAGGGGGAGCTGGGCCGGCCCTTGGGCAGGGGACGGTGCGGCCGGACCGGCGCCCGGCGGGCTGGTCTGGGCACGGCGGAGCCCCGGCCCCCGCCCCGCCGTCTAGGGATGGCGGGCTATAAAAAGCCTGTGGTTTGCGCCGCGCTCGGGGCGGTTATTTTTACTCGTGTCTGTGCAGGGAGGAACGCCCGGGTTTAACCCAAAAGTGCAGCCTGGATGGCAGCCGCCCTGCCCCGGCCCCGCCGCCGCCTCCCGGGCCCACTGGGCCCTTTGGGTGGTGGGGCTGAGCCCGCCGTGCAGAGGGGAAACTGAGGCACGGCCCCGCGGGGCTGGCGGCTCGACGTGCAGGGAGTGTGACAGTGACAGCGGTGACACCCCGGTGCGGCGCCAGGGCCCGGTGACAACTGGGCTGTCACTGCTCTGGCTGTTCCCAGCACTCGCTGGCTCCTTCCTGCTCCCAGGTGGGGATGGGACAGGGCTCCTGCCAGCACGTGGCATCTCCAGAGTGTCCCGGTCTCCCTCCATCACCCGGGAAGGGCGAGGTGGATCCTTTGCTGGATCCTCTGCTGGATCCTCCTGCCGATTGCCGGCACATCCCCGGCCCCATCCCTGGGGCTTTACTCCTTTAATGAGAGAAAGTTTCCCAGAGCTGCTGGCTCTGGGGTTTCGTGGGGAAGGAATTAACGTGGCAGCCGTGGATGAGGGGGAAGGCAGGGCCAGGACCATGGGCTGTGCCCCCACGGTGCCCCCACGTCCCTCGGGGCATCGGGTGCCGGTTGGGAAGGGAGTGTGGGCGAACTGGTGAGCCGGATCCTGGCCCTTTTCCGTGTCCCTGGCTGCCAGCTGGACATGGCACGTGCATGGAGACCTGTGGATCTCAGGAAGGAAGGGAGATCCGGGAGGGGACGTGCAGGCCTAGGTTTGGTTTAGGATGTCAAACGTTCCCGCTCACCTCCAAGCCCGGAGCACCGATGAAAAAGAAAGTAGTTTTGGGAAACTTTGGAAAACTGAGTGTTGCAAGGAGACAGGGATCCTGCTGACTCCGAGGAGAAGCATCCTGGCAGTGAGGGAGCTGGAAAGCCTGGCAAGCCACGCTGCAGTGGGAGTGCCTGGAAGGATTTGAGGGGGGGGAATTAGTGTATTTAAGACCCTTTGAATTTCCCTCCCCTTCACCAGAATTGCAGCAGGATTGCGAGGAGCAAACCAGGTTTGGGAGCCACGCAGCCCTAACACCACAGGGGTGGGCTCAGGCCAGCCAGGAGCGACTTTGCTGCACCCAGCAAAGCCTCCAGCAGCAAATATCCCCCAAATTAATTCCCTCCATCGTTCCCCAGCTGCAGCATGGGGCGGCTCAATCCCTCGGGAACCGCGTGTTCCTTCCCTTGGCGACCACCACGGAGCAGAAAAGGTGGTGTGGGCCCCGAGAGGGGGTCTGTGTGTCCGTCTGTCTCCCCAAGGGCAAGAGCTGCCTCGTTTCGATCCTTCCTGCTTCCACACAGTCATTTTGGAACCGAAAGGCCTCCGCCCATCGCGCTCCGCCGGCGGCACCGGCCCGTGGCAGCGCCGGGCACTGGTGGCACTTTCGCTCTGTGTCACCCCCCGGCAGGACGGAGCCGAGGCTGGAGGGTCCCTCCAAGCCCAGCCAACACCTGGATTTGGCTCCAGAGGGTCACCTGGCCGTGACTGCGTGCTGGGACAGGGGTGGGTAAATTAATTTTAATCAGTTAATTAGAACTCACCCCCCCCGGGGGGTTTTGTGGGCGCCGGGGAGAGGTGGGGAAGGGGGTCGGTGGAGGTGCTGGTGGTCCCCTAAGCCCGCACAGGACCCCATTCCCACCAGCCTCTCCTTTCCCCTACTTCCCAGCCTTCCTCCTGCCTTCCCACCCCCCCTCCCAGCGCTGCCAGCCCCGCTCTGGTTTGTACTGGTCGCTTGTCTAAACAACCTATAAAAAGCAGAAGGGCCTGACAGCCCCGGCACAAACCCTGCTCCGCTCGGGCCGTTCCCTGCTCCAGGATCGGGATGCTGCTCACACCAGCTCTGCCATTCCCTGGGGATCTGTGGGATCCTGGGATGGGAGCAGGGCAGCACCAGCTGGGGGTGGATGTGTTCCCCCCCCCAGTCCCAGCACTGTGTGTCCATCCCTGTCCTGTGCTCCTTCAACCCCGCTGCCCTCCCGGTCCCTGCGAGGCAGCATCATCCCTGCCCTCCCTCTGGGATTTTGCTGCTCAGATTTTCCCCTCTCTGCCAAACCTGGCTGCTTCTCCCTGTGAAAGATGGGATGGAAACTCTTTCTCCTGCTTTAATCGTCGTTTTTCTCCAAGAAGACGCTTTTTGGGAGCTGCCAAATGCCGATGGCAAATGATAACCACTCTGTCTCCCCCCGCTTCCTATTCCTACCCAGTCACCCCCAGCTTTCAGGTTTGCAACTGAATCCCCATAATTTGGTGAAAACAACATTTTTCCCTCATTTCTGTGCCCCACGGGAGGAGGAATCACCAGGGAGCTCAGAGATCCTGACCTGGGGTTGTTAGGGGAGCGCTCGGACCCCGGAGAGCCTTTGCCCCTGAGTGCTCCCCTAATAACCCACCTGCTTTGATTTTAGGATAAATCTGGTGGATTTAACACTTCTGGGATCACTCAGGGGTGCAAAGGTGTCAAAGGCAGTGCTGGGAACTCCCGTTATCGTGCCGAGCATCCCACACCACACATGGAAAAACACTCCCCTCTCCAGGGGTTCGCTCGGTCTCAGAGCACTAATTAGGGGCTGGGATGGGGAGTTTACACGCTCAGGCGTGATGCAAACGACCCCAAAAGGTGTAGAGGACCCGGGGTGTTAATTATAAAGGTGGTGGCAGCGCGGGGGTCGGGGTGACACCCCGCTGTGGGTGCTGGCACGGGCAGGGTGGGCTGAGGGGCTGCGGGACCGCGCCCGGTGCGTGCGAGCGAGCAGAGCCCGGGCTAAAGATAAGCTGGCGTGGGAGGGAGCGGGGCCTGACGGGATGCCAGGCAGCACCAGGGCCTCTGCCTGGCGCAGGGAGTGCAGAGTGACTCCTCTCTGGAAGGTTTCGAGGGCTCCAGAGCTCTGGGTTATGTCAGGATGACGACTGGAGGGTGGTTCACTCATCACAGCGACGTCAGGAGGGGCCTCTGCGGGATGTGGGGCCTGGTGGGGACACCCTGATGGGCAACCGAGGGGTCTCTCCAGGGCTGGCTCCCCTCTGCAGGATGTGGGACCTGGTGGGGACACCCTGATGAGGAGCTGAGAGGTCTCTCCAGGGCTGGCTCCCCTCTGCGGGATGTGGGACCTGGTGGGGACACCCTGACGGGGAGCTGAGGGGTCTCTCCAGGGCTGGCTCCCCCTTCCCTCCTGCTTGGGGCCACGAGCCCTCCCTGGATGTCGCCTCCTCCCCGGAGCTGCTCCCTCGGGGCTGTGCCTGTCCCACGGACGGGCCTCTCGGTTCCACAATGACTGTGTGGAAGGAGGAAGGACGGAAACACCCCCCAAACACGAGGCAGCTCCTGCCCTGGGGGAGACAGACGGACACACAGAGCCTCTCCATGCCCAGGGGGTGCCACCTCTCTGTACCAGGCGATGGCAGGCAGAGCCTGTGCCCGTCAGGAGTTGCTGCCCATCCCTTTATCACCCTTAAAAAGCAGCGTCAAAGCCCCCCCTCCCCTCCCAGCCCTCGGTACCCGCCGGGGGGGACGCGGGGACACACCGGGGTGGCCGTGGCTCCACGTGGTCACCTCCCACCCTGTGGTGCTGGTGGCGGTGGTGGCCCGGCCGTGGGTGTCCCCGGGGGTGCCAGGGTGGGCTGGGCGGCCGAGGGGGTGCCCCTGGAGGAGCAGAGCCCTCGTGGGCAGGGTGGGGAGGAGGCTGATGAAACCGCCCCGGGTGTTGCACGAGGCCTCCGCCGGCTCTGCCGCTGCCTGACCGGGGGGGTCTGGCTGTGGTGGGTGCCCGTCACCCCCCCGTCTCCACGGTGCTGAGGCTACTCTTTCCTCTGGATTCCCCCCCCTCACCTGCTGGGTTGGGCTGGGACCCCCAGAGCATTGTCTTGTGGGTGCTGGTCCCGTCCAGGACCCCCACAGAGTCACCTCGTGGGTGCTGGGATGCCCTTGGGACCCCCACAGGGTCACTTCATGGGTGCTGGGACCCCCTTGGGACCCCAACAGAGTTACCTCATGGATGCTGGTGTCATCCAGGACCCCCCCAGAGTTGCCTCAGGGGTGCTGAGACCCCCTTGGGACCCCCACAGAGTCACCTCATGGGTGCTGGTGTCATCCAGGACCCCCGCAGAGTCACCTCGTGGGTGCTGGGACCCCCTTGGAATCCCCGCAGAGTCACCTCGTGGGTGCTGGTATCATCCAGGACCCCCACAGTGTCACCCTATGGATGCTGGTACCCCCCTGGGACCACTGCAGTATTGCCCCATAGGTGGTGCTACCTTCCAGGACCCCCACAGAGTCACCCCATGGGTGCTGGGACCCCCCTGGGACC